CCAGTCCTCCTTATGAATGTCTTATTTTAACCAATTTTCAAATAAATATTGTTTTCATATTAACAATCTATTCAATTCCTATTTGATTTTCTGCTAACCACCAGCATTCACATGTTGGTGGTTAAAACATATATATTATATTGATCTTGAACATTATCTTACACTTTAAAATCTGGTAAAATGAATGCGTATTTTGAGTACTCCAATCATCATCTATGGAAGAGTGCACCTTATTGTCCCTAAATTTAAATGTCTCAAAATTAAACGGTTGACGGAGTCTTCTATTGAAAATTCATCTCGCGACAAGTGGTGTTGAAGATTTACATTTGTAAATAAGTGAGGAGGTTTATCAATAGACAATGTATTTTTTCTGATGAACTACATGGTAATATGAACATACATTTTTCACGAACCAGAATGAACTCGCCATTTTATAACGTTTAAACTACTACCGAACAACAATAGATCAACAACCTCGTCCTTTTCTTGACCTTTGTTACCATCAGTTCTTTGTTTGTCTTAAAAAGCCTCTTAATATCCTGTATTCTTGAATGACAACCGATTCAGAATCCATTGTATGTCACTTTTCTTCAGTCAGTAACTAATGCTTTTGCTGTTACCTGAAAACTATACATATCAATATGACTGGAATTTAGCGTATCAGTAGTTCTCAATTTTCAACTCAACAGCCTTTTTATGAGTCGATTCACTACCGATTTCTTGGTTTTTGTAGTGAAGAAATCTCAGTGGTCTACAGAGTAAACGCACACCCGACAAACTTCGGATCCTGCGTTTGACCACTGATATGTTTAAGGGTGAGATAGCTAAGGAAACTGAAATCAGAACAAGAAGTTGTGTACATTTCTAAATTTTCATTTTGATTTGTGATTTTACATGGCTTCATAACTTAAAGGTGTTCATACATAATTCCCAAGTCACTTACCGAACAATTAGCACAGAACCGAACTCACATAATATGATTTTATCATTCAATGAATTCAATCAATTTACACGCTGATTTGTAATTTAAGCTTATTTTATGAAATAAAATACAATTAGAGCTGTCATCCATATTTATTTCCTATCAAATTTAATTCTGAGACATCTTAATAGGAAAGATAAAGTATTACAGTGGTACTACTTAGGTTTTGCAACAATAGTCTATTACGGTAACAGCACAATCAAAATAGGAAAGTATAAGTATGAACAAAATAAAACAATCGAACAGACTCATAGATGTAAAACATTTACTATCTACTTAAAGATGAAATAACACGTAATAGTTTGGTCAACAAAAGCTAGTTAGAAATAAGAAGTTAGTGTTACACTAGCTTAGACCTGTTCAGAAATATTTAAGTCTTGAAACGTTTGTAAAATCCAAATTGCTGATCATACATAACAATTCTTTTGATAGATATCAGTGAAATAATAGAGGAAACTAAAATTCGCACTTGCCATCCTACCACTAGAGGATTGGATATGAGATAATTAAACCATTATTTATTTATTTATTTGAACACAAATATTGGTACAAGGGGTACCAGATATATATGCACCACACAAAACAATGATAATAGGGAGAAAAAAAAGAGGAACAATAACGACTAGATTAGTGTAAGGAAGTGTAATAATAACAATAATAATAGTGGGGGAAACGGAAGGGTATAACCAGAAAAAATCTTCAATTTAAGGAAGATACAACCACTTTTTATGAAGGTTGCAGCAGGATCGCCACTGGCTTCTATTCTGAGCCATATCTCATAACGTCTCTAGCCACTGTGTTGCACCATCTCTAGGACCTCAGCCAGGGAGTCGTGAAGGACCAACAGAAGCCAGTCCTTTTTAGCTTTCTTTCATCCCACGACACCATGTCATACACTAACCACCTCTCCGCTTTTTCCAACTAGTCCCAGAGTCGGCAAATAATGCATGACGAGGAATTCTCTGGGACGACATTCGTAGTACGCGTTCGAGCCACCGAAGTCGGTGTTTCAAGATGGTGACGCCAATTGAATTATCGTCTGTGCGCCAGAGCACACGGTGTCAAAACTCTGCATTACTAACATGGTGTTGCATCTGGATACCAGCAATCCTTCAGAGATAGTGATTATCAAACACAGAGTCGTCTGACATCCGTAACTCGGAGAGGCCAGGTTTCATAAGCATAGAGCAAAACTGCTCTCACCGACGCGTTGTAGACACGAACTTTAACAGCCAGACTAACATCACGAAGGCGCCAAAGATGGCCCAGATTGGCATAAGCCGCTCTGGGTTTCATTACACGTGAATTGATCTCATCACTCACGCCACCAGCAGCACTTATACAGCTAACTAGATACACGAACTTCTCGACTACTTCTATCTGCTCACCGTCCAGGGTGAGTGCAGGATCAGGGTCCTGCCAGTATTCTAGAAGTACTTTGCACTTCGAAGATGCAAAGCATATACCGTACCTATGGACATTGATTCCCAACTGATTAAGTTCGGATTGCATGCCTTGGGCATTATCGCACAGTAAGACAATATCATCCGCATACTTACCAGATGCAGCTGCTGCTTCCAGCTCATTAGCACGCTCCGACCACCGGGCTTCTCGGTCCTTACGCAAGCTTTGCTCAATTTCATTACGTAACAGTCTTCGTTTGTGGTCAAACTCACGGTTGCTCGGAGTAGACCGACGGGCTTCAATGAGTTGTAAGGAACCAGAAGAAACCCAGTGCATATAAGCGGGACGTTTCGCGAAGCCACAAGCGGCTTTACTCGCCATATTCACGGCGTCGTGAAGTTGCAACCAATGCTCATCTATACTTTTCGGTGGAATGGCAGCTAGCCTAGAAGCTAGCTCGGTTCGGTACTTACTAGCAACAGAAGTTGCAACCAACATGCTGACATCAATTCTTTGGTGGCGGTCACTTCGTTGGCCACTGGAAAGTAAAGTAAGATTGGCGCAGACCAAGGCATGGCCAGAGTCCAGATAGGTACTCCAAAATGAGCGCCAGTCTTGTACACAACCACGCCAGCGGTAGCTGATCGCGATGTGATCAATCTGAGTCCAGGCTTGAGATGCAGAGGGAGAACGCCAGGTGGCACATCGGCGATGACTGTGCCAAAAGTTAGTGATAGCCAGAAACAGGTTGTGGTCTGTGCACAGTTGTAGTAGACGGCCCCCGTTATCTGTCCTGCGACCAACAAGTCCCTCAACAAACGTCGATATTAAGACTTTCCAAAGACATAGCCAGCACTATCTGTTGTTCGACCTGCATAAGTGGGCGAACTTTGAAGGCAGCCAGTTTGAATGGTGCACGTGGTTTCAGAAAAACTGATTCAGTATTCGTACTTGGTGGTAGCACACAATTTTCAACCAGGCAGTGAATCAAAAACGTTTAGATAGAACCGAATTTCCACCTGCTGTATGAGTCGAAAAATGAGGATACATAAAGTAGGAATAAAAGAGTGAATAAATGACATAGTAAATCGAAGCGAAAATAGAGTTTTCAGTAAATATCATCATTTTCATTATATTTGTGTGTGGGCTGTGATACTGCCTGGATGCCCAAACCGGAGCAGGTGGTTTTCTTAGGAGGCCACACCCCGAGCCTTTGACCTTAAGGTCTGACCCACAAGGCAGTGGAGCATCGTGAGGAGATGCAGTCCCATGGTAGCCGATGACCAACGATTGGTTCATACGCCATTTGTTCCTTCAGGATACTGGAGCCCATGTGCACCATTGGTTTGGGATCCGGTTAAAGCACCGGACACTCGCTTTTCGTCCTCTCAATTTCGTAGACAACGCCCCCGCTACGAGAAGGCATTGAGTAGGACTTCCCTGTCAGAGGCTGTATACGAGTGGCCGTGTGAGAGCACCCACCTCACTCTCGGCCATACCAGGACATTTGGGGGCAATTAAACCATTAGGATCAATAGGACTTGATATTAAATAATAATAATTAGGGGTCACTGGGCTATGACATTAGATCATATGAGCTCTATTACACAATATCCGACGAAGTACTAAAATCTAAATTGCAGGCCAGAATAATTTATTGACACAGAGTACAAGCAGGAGCCAGGAAAGAATGAAGTCCGACAACCTCTTATTCGTTATAGTCGTATCCTACTTCCTCCAACACATCAGTCAGCATATAAATTTCTTGCAAGGATGCTTTGATGAATATATCTCTCAGCTTGGAATGGTCAATAGTGGATAACATAGTGTGCTTCTCATCCAGCTTGAGATTTATTCGTCACTAGATACTGATAATTAATCTATCAATACTCAAACCTAGCATTTATTAATTACAACATTCATCTCTTGCACACACTGAATGTGAATATATCCAGTGTACGAGGTATATTAGCAAGATATATGGTTTCTATATTTTACTACTAACAATCGATATAATAATCCCTGGTTGTTTAGTTTATTGTTATTTTATAAGTTAAAATTAATCCAGATGTCATGGCGAGAAACTTTGGAAAATACATTCGTTATAACACTACTGTTTCGGATATAATAAACCTTGAAAATTGCAGTCAGTAGCATGTCTTTAAGACATAATAAACTGGATTCTATAAACAGTATCTTTCTCCTTACTAAATACAAAACAGATTCCCGAACGAAATGATAACATGGTGGGGAATTTAATACACCTTAATCATCATCATCTCTAAACGATACATAATATATATCAAAGCTAGTGATACTCATTGCCATAGTAACAACGTAGGCAGTGAAGATTAGGGCTTGTAATTAAGTGCTTTTATTATTGTCATCTATTGGTTGTTTATTAACAATCTAAACCATTAAGTGCTTAAGAATAGTGAGTATTCTAATGATATAAGACTCATTAATAAATTACTTGACTTGACAAAGGAAAACTCATGTCATCATAAGACGAAAAGATTTAATGCTTTTGTATGGTAAGAGATGTTTTCTGTACAGATGAAAATTTCGACTAGTTTAACGTATTTTTACAAAAACTATATGTCTATATATTCACTTATAAATCTCCTTTTAATCGTCTTCCACGCAATCTTTCCAATTCACGATGTACCATTTCTTGTGTTGAGCCCCAAGATCTACCTTCTGGTGGACATGTTGCAGCTGGGGTCCAAACACCTTTAATATCATTTGGATGATAAATTTTCGGAGGATCACCTTCTCGAAGACGTATATACAAATTTGTGTAATGAAATTTATTCGACTCCACTTTAGATCGTAAGCCTTTGTATAAACGAGGAACCATGCGACCTCGTGAAACATGCGCTGACTCTTAAGGTAAAAAGAATTAAAAAATAAAACAGAACATATGTTGTAACCTGTGGGACAAACGTTTTTATTATTAACAAGGATAAATAAGACAAATTATGCAGACCAAAATCTTTACATAAAAGGCAATTATCTTTTAGCAAAAGAAATGTTTTTTGGACCGTAGAAAGTAATCATTTCAAGGATGTCTTCTTTGTGGGCATGAATGAGAATCCACCCTCGCGACAAAACATAACCTTGAGACGGACACAAAAAAATCAACTAAAAGTGGCAGCAATCAATCAGGAGACAGCCAAGGTGTGGGAATACTAATTAGGAAGAAATATTGTTGCTGTTATAGTTACAGGAAAGAAATCACTGTCTATTAACAAAAGGTGGATAAATAGAGGTCCTCATAGTAATCTGGTACCATAAAGCCCTATTGCAAAACACCTTTTATTTTGAGTATATATCGTTTAAATGTTGACACACCGGTTGTGTGGCATCCAATAATTGCATTAGATCAGCACTCATATTGGTGAAGTGAACGAGAACACGAGTGGGGACAATCGAATGTATTTGAACACAAAATTACAGAACATTTTAGTAAAAATCTGAGAGCCATACAGTAAATACTTTATTTGCAAAATGTTAATCAATTGCCTCAAACTTGACTGTTTCCTTTGCAAATGTCGATCAATCGTCTCAGACTTTACGGTTCCTTCATTTCCACAACAATCATTCTCTGTTCTCGTTCTCTTTTATTCGATCTACTTAACCTTCTGCTGCCAGGTACTTTACTTTCGATTGACGATACATACTAATATCTATCAACATCAGTAGCACACAGCACATTGATATCAACAATGAGTTCGTATTCTTTTCAGTACGTATAATATCTTTTATTAAACAAATAGGTACTTTCAGTGTTAAAGCAGTTATTTACAAAAAGCATAATAAGTCGTATCTAGAAATCATATGTTAGGCAATAATAAAATAACAAATCTTTCATCTGTTTTGCGTTCACGCAGGTTTAACTGTAAGTCACCAAGTGACAATTCTGTTGTGCATAAAACATAACTCTTTATGATAATAGCAGGATTGACGTACTTTACACCTTGCTTAAATTTTAACCATACTAAAATAATTAATGAAGTTAATGCTGAATGTTTCTATAATCTTAATAAATACTTAGGTCAAATAAAACTAAGCACAGTTCAGAAGTCATTATGAAGTTGTCGTTTGGAAACGTTAATTAACGGACAATCAAAACACTGATGATAAAAAAAAATCCAACAGTATTTCTATGAAATATACTGTGTAAAAAATTAAATTCAGTAACTGTGTTTAATTACATACAGTTCAAATATATACTAAGTAACACAAGTTCAAATTTCAATTCACCTACTTTTAACTGAGCAACCCAATAATATTATTAAGTCGCATACACACGCAAACACAAAATATGCCTCAAAGCCCAATATACATGGACATGAACAAAATTAATGAGTAACACATCAAAAAGTATGTTTTACTATAGCTATAGGTATAATTCATCACATAGAAGAATCGTGAAAACAATAGAAATAAAAACAATATCTCATATAAATCATTTACCTATCCAAATTTTTGTACAGAATTCAAAATCGTGCTCCTTAACTGCTAGTTCAATGGCTTCTTCTATCACCTAAAAAACAGATGACATGAAGAATACAGTTTCGAATTAATGATCATTAGACTTGTACATTTATGATTTAAACTTAGTGATCAAACAGAATAGTTTATTCTGATCAAAATACATTATTACAAATATAAACATCATAAGAACAGATGGATTGTAACTAGCAGTGGAATCCAGGACCCGCGTTTTATCGTATTTGGGACTTGTCCGCCAAATGTACCTGAATCTTAGACGATGTTCACTCCAGAATTTGAACCCAGTAATGTTCGCTTCAAAGGTCATCGCGTTATTTATGTGGTTACTGAGTCCAAATAGACACTGGCTTGTGTAGTGACGGAAGTTTTTATTAAGTTGTATTGGTCGTTTGGAATTTCTTAATGATATTGAAAACTGGAATTAATCAGTCTGTTTTGGTATATGTGCATCCTACGCGGATTGCCCTCGATATCCCGTCAAGGAGTGAATATCAGTTCTGGAACGCAAGTATACCCAGCCGACTAGTTATAGATAAAACGGAACGCGCGAGCTGGATTTCACTACTAGCCACCACCCATCTCTGCTTATAATGCAATATCGATGGAATCCGCACAGCATACACATATGTCAAAAGAAACTGATCGATCCCAGACCTAAACAACAATAGGAAGATTCAAACAACTAATGCAAATAAAATAAACATAATGTGTTACTTTTAATCAGTGAAATAAATTTATCAGAGGTTGTGAATTTTGAGATTAGTTTTTATATTATCGATACACTGAGTTGCACGTAGCTTAAATAAGTATACAAGATGAGGATGAGAAGTAAAACCTTCTCATTTTATAAGAAACTGTAATATATACGAAAAATATGAATCAAAAATGGTAAGTATGAAGTGACCTGTTCATATATGTACAAATAGAAAGTACTTAATCCTAGCCGAGCACTATCAGCTGAACCAGGAGTTAAAAGACGTGGTATTTTTGTGGCCCGTTGATCTGACTCCATTTAGAGAGTACGAATGATTGTTATCACCTATCCTCGTATACAATCATCGACTTAACTCACGTTAGTCAATAACGGAATTTAGATAAGTCAATTAACGAGGATGGCCTTTGAATACATATATTTTGCATGTAAAGTGAATGTAATAGAACAGAGCAAAATGACGCGCAGGGAAGATGGCTGGTAAGCCAACTCAATTTTAGTCAAGCGTTACTCAATATTTATAGTCAGACAAAATAAAGCTACCGACATGTGATTAATGGGATAAGAAGGGCACACACATATACGCTCATATAAAAACAGTCCAGATTGATAAGTGAATAAATAACAAGGTCAAAACATGACTCAAGCAGAATGAATAGAATGGGATGTCCGAAAGCTAGAGTAAGGTATATGGGCTTAATATAATAACTGACACTACAGTATCGCACATATTAATTAGAATTTGAAAGTTAACTTTCACCCGCTGAAGACAGCTGGAAGAAAGTTAGGGCTGACCAAACCAAAACATGGCATCAGTCCACAAGGTCACTAACTTCTGGTCTGAGCCATGTTGGTAGATGCAGACTACTTGGTTGAGGTCCGCGTGACTATAGTATCCAGTGGTTTGAGACCACAATGGTGTAGGTGCATAGACTCTTTGCCTTCCCGTAAACCGTTAGATTAGAATTACTTTATATATATATTACTACCATTGAAGTAACTGCTTCTATGAATTTAGTGTTCATTTGGTTGTGCTAATGAGGTATGGCAACGTAGACCGATGCATATATGTGCCCGGTCCTACTGTGGTGTGTGCTATTTATGCTTGCAGATATAAGCAGTATGTAACACCAATCGGAAGTGGAATGTCTGAGAGCAGAAAGTTGAGAAGATGGAAATGAAGAGAAGAGAGATAACAACAGGAATAAAGGAACAACGAAGCTTGTAAGAGACAATTCAAAGATGTGCGAATGATGTATTTGACGTATAATTTTCACATATTACTAAACTACAGTGTGATTGTGCATTAAATAATAAACTAGTCTTCCTCACTTGAGTGTTTTTTTCACTTCACTACGTTGTAGATGACCGAGTGACGTCACTTAGAAAAAAAATTGAAAGAAAAGGACCACTAGGGAACTTTGTTTTATTTTAGCATAAGACTTACCTTAGGTGGACTTTCACGAAGAGGTAAGCACGATAGCTGTAGACTAGTGAGCTAGGATTAAAAAGTTTACATTTTCAACTTCAAATTTTGATTTATAATTATTCCCACACAATGTCGATGGTGGGTTATCGTCTAAATCCTGACATGATCGACTCTTCATATCACGACTTCAAACTAGGAGAGCTTTATTGAATGAACCTGAAATTTAATGAGTACTGGTGCTTGGTTAAATTTACATCAATTCACATTGTTTCGTGTAACACAGAATTTTCTCAGTCAGTCAGCTATAACGTAGGACCGGGGACATATGCGCATCGGTCCAAGTTGCCATACCTCATTAACACAATATGAAAACCGAATTCACAGAAGTAGTTAATTCAGTGGTGGTAATATGTAAAAGAAGGATTGCATATAATGACATAGTACGGGAAGAAAGAATTAGTTCGTAGAAAGAAAGATATGAAGCGATTTTAATCTCATAGTTTAAAGGAAGACAGAGAGTGTATACACAGACGCCATTGTGATCGACTTTGAGTCATGTCACTCAGAGTCTCCAACAATTGATTACGACAGTCACGCGGACCCCAACAAAGTAGTCTGAATCTACCAACATGGCTAAGACTAGAAGTTAGTGACTTCAAGCACTGATGCCATGTTTCGGTTTGGCCACCCCTAATTCTCTTCCAACCATCTCTAACACCCGTTAGCATTGCACGACGTGGTAATCGGTGTTCAGGCATACGTAACACGTGGCCCAACCATCTCATTCGATGAAGATTTACAACCTCATCAACTGATTTACCATCATTCCCTAATGCCCTATATCTAACCTCACTATTACTTACCCGGTGATCCCAGCAGAATTGTCTACTGAAATTCATAGCTTAGATTTTCATTGTAATTTTGTAATTTCCCTTATGTGTAATAATTGTCGACTAATCACTAAGTGTGAGCAAAATTAATATATCAATGAATGCATTCATGTGCCATTTTGATTTTATTACAGAGTCAATCAAATACATGTAAGTGGTCTTTATGTCCTCACTACGCGTCGTCGGATCCGGGATTTGAGTCTCAAGCACAAGTCAGTCAAACTAATCAGCAAAGATATCAACAAAGCTGGTTATAGTGGCTATTCATTATTTAACAAACATTAGTTTTTAATTGAAATTTAGAACTTTGCACTCTTGATCTACAAAAATGAGGCACTATCGTCTATGAAGATACTGGTGTCTTGTATAGATGATATGATCTAACTTGTGGATACATCTTAGTAGTTGATAATAACTAAATAGCCCATCTAAGACTACTAGTCCGACTACGTACATGAACTACAAAAAACTTTAGTAATGAAGTTTATTGATATGGGATAATTTAGAGATTAACTTAAGTAAATAGCATCAAGTTATGAAACCCTCTTACCTCTTCAAGGATTCTAGCTCCCTTTTCAGTACGAAATCCTAATTGTGCGAAAGCATCATCTACAGATCGTCCACGAATCTGTATTAACAATTTAAAATAAAACAAACAGTTTGATGGTACCGTTTAAGTAGAATGTAGATGATTATATACACATTAATCAAGTTTATTGAATTGTGTGTTCTCAGCTGATTCTATCCCTTCTAATCAAAGTTGGTTGTTACTTATCAAGATTTTGAGTAAAGGATATATTTTCAACTATCCTGTGGTGAATTTATTTCGGAACTAGTTTTTATTAACATATTGAGAGACTAGCCACATTCAATCTATTCAGTCATATATTTCAAGAGAAATTTCCACTGCTTTAAATCGGTTTTAAACAACTCATAAAATAAACTAGTCATTTTAATCATGTATGATTTTTCAGATCCGTCTTGCGGATGGCTATCAAAAACGACTGAAACTATCCATGTAATCTAAGTGGTGTAATGTCATTTATATTACACGTTAACTTGCTTGATAGTATTCTACAAAGCCTGTTATAAAGCGAAAAAATCTTACTCTTAAGAAACTGACTCGATAAACATTCATTTAATGAAAGCAATTCAATTAGCTAAAATTGACGAACAGTTAAGAATCGATAATTTGGTGAATTAAAGATTCAGATTTTACAGTTCTCATTTAACACAGATAAACAACATAAAGAATTAAAGGCATATTTGATCGTTTTTCAAAAGGATATAAACAGAATAAAGGTTTACAATTATATTTCCAGATATTTTTAATATTATTCATCCGCATATAATATCTAGAAAAGGATAAATTCAAATGATTAGATAAAATCAGATGCATATAAATATAATTAACAAGTCTGTTGACATACCAAGTGGGCTAGCATCCACAGTCTTTTGCTGCTGTATAAAATATCATCTCGACGATGGGTAACTTCACCTGGTCGTATGCTAGTATCCCAAAGAGCTGAGCTTGAAACTTTAGGTACAGGAGGATAAACCACCTCGTTGTACAACTTCCAAAGATCTTCTTTTTGACCAGTAACTCTAGATATTATCGCAAATCCTTTATGATTTGACAATCCAGGTTTTTTATGTAAACCAATAGAAGTGGATATAAATTGCTTTGACGGATACGCGTTTCCAGCTGACAATACTTTCCATACAGTTTTAGAAACAACAGAAAGCATTAATACCTGTGAATAAAAGTCACACACACTAAAATAGGATGTAGATGCTTGCAGAGTATTTAAATAACTTTCACCTATAGGCCCACTAAAAAATCTTAGAGATTACCCGAGGAATTAACACAAAAAAAATGAATAAGACGAACAAAGCTAGCTAAGTTGAGTTTCAATGTAATTTGTATACAAACGCTAAAATGCTTAATATTTTTGAGAACAATACCCGAAATTTTTATTTGCCTGCTTTCTTAACTCTCACAGAAAACCATTTACTAATACTTGATCGCTTATGTTAGATTCGAACACTGTAGCCCATAGTTTCTTTATCACAACGAGCTACTTATCCGTTGTTTCTTTCTTATTCTAAAAATATTTTTATCTTATTTATTTATTTGAACACATAAATATTGGTACAAGAAGGCACCAAATATATATGAGCCACACTAAAAAATGTTTGACTGTAAATCGAAGCGAGAATAGAGTTTTCAGTAAATATCATTGTTTTCATTATATTTGTATGTGGGCTGTGATACTGCCCGGATGCCCAAACCGAAGCGGGTGCTTTTTTTAGGAGACCACACTACGAGCCGGTGTCCTTTCAAACAACCAGAGAAAAAGTGTACAAAGGTACACGTAATATTAGCATAATGTGGAAGAGCGGGAGGATCAATCAAATAGCTATGGAAATGAGGATATACAACTTGACGGTGCTCGGACTAAGTCAAACCCATTGGAATCAAGCTGGACAGAAAAGATCATCTTCGGCAGAGGTGCTGTCGTACTATAAGTCATGAAAATGCTTCGCAAACACAGGGGGTTGAACTGATGCTGTCTAAATGAGCACGAAATGCACTTACTGGGTGGGAATTTCATGGAACCAGGATCATCAAAGCATCCTTCAGAGCAAAGGTGATTACAATGAATGTTATTTAGTATTATGCATCCACCAATGATAGCAATGAAAACGATGAAGATCAGTTCTATGAGGAGCTGCAGTTAAACGAAGTGAACTGCCAAGAAATAGATCTCATCATACTGATCAGACACCGAAACGCCAAAGTCGGAATAGACAAAACCAGGTATGAAGATATCATGGGACGATATAGACTGGGAGGAAATGGAAATGATGAGAGATTTACAGATTCATGCGTCTTCAATAAAATGGCTAATGGTGGCATTATATTCCCCAACAAACGCATACGTAAAGCACGTAAAGAACAGAAGAAGCCAAGAAACAAGCCGAATATGCTGAAGCAGACAAGCAAGTGAAGAGGAGTATTAGAGCTGACAAGCGGAAATATGTGGAAGACGTAGCATTGACAGCAGAAAAAGTTCCAAGAGGAAATATCAGACAACTATATAGTACAACGAGGAAACTGCCTGGGAAATATATCAAACCAGAGCGAATAATTAAGAACAAACAAGCACGTCAATCATTGAGACTCAAAAACAGTGGAACAGATGGGCAGAACATTTTGAAGAACTCTCGAATAGACTAGTCCCACTGAACCTACCGGAAATCGACGCAGCACACACAGACCTTCCTATATATGTCACTCCACCAACGATCGACGAAGTCAGGATGCCATCAGACAAATCAAGAGTGGATAAGCAACAGGACTAGACAACGTACTGGCTGAAGCACTGGAATCAGACATAGGGGTATTTGCAAATATGCTCCATATTTTATTTCAAAAAATCTGGGAACAAGTGCCAACAGACTGGGAAGGATATCTTATCACGGACCACGAAGGGGCGATAGTCGCTTTCAGCCTGTTCTCCCGAAACGCTCTCACATGGCTAGGAATATACAGCCGCTGCCAGGGAAAACCTAATCACCACTTTCTAGCGGCGGTGTTCTTTACAACATAGAGTGGATGAAAGGCGAATGTATGGCGCTGTAACCGAACTGGCAGATGTAGAGGACCTCTAGGTCACACGCTCAAAGAGTAACCCTCCAAAACACCATCTGTTTTAGTTTGGGCACCCGCGCAGTATTCCAGCCCTCATACAAATCGAAAGTATGGCGCATATATATCTGGTGCCTCCTTGTACCTACGTTTATGTGTTTAAATAACTTAATAGTCAATAATAAAGAGGAGTCTCAAAAAATGTGAGGACTACAGAGGCACCACATTACTATTGATACTGAAAAACGCACTCAAGAGTGCTATTGAACCGGATGAAGGATCCAGTAGACGCCCAACTTCAAGATCAACATGCTGGGTTCCGTAAAGATCAGTCGTGCACAGACCAGACCGCGTCAATAAGGATCATTGTCAGACAATAAACTGAATAGAACATATCATTACACATCAATTTCCTCGACTATGAGAAAGCATCTGACAGAGTAGATAGAACCTTATGGGACCTTTTTTGACATTATGGAGTACCTGAAATCTTCAGCACCATAAGGAATTTATATGATGGACTACACTGTAAAGTCGTGAGTGAAGGAAAGTTCACGGATGCATTCCGAGTGAGGACCAGTGTCACAGAATATGATGGACAGCTAGGATGCAGCTAGACAATTTGGACCTCGCAGATGACCTGGCCCTTCTACACATCCACACCAACAAATACGGATGAAGACAACCAGTTTAACAGGAGCTTCTGTATCAGTAGACCTCCACAAACACAAAAGAAGCAAGATCCTGAAATATAACACAAAGGACAACAAACCAAGCACACTTGGTGGAAAAACCCTGGAAGAGGTGCGAACGATTACGTACTTCGGCAGCATAATAAAAAAACGAGGAGGATCTGATGTAGCTGTAAAGGAAAGCATCGTCAAAGCTAAGGTAGCATTCCTACAATTGAGGAATATATGGGACTTAAAACTGGTAAACAACAGAGTCAGAATCTTTAAAACAAGACAGATCTACTATACGGAGCTCAAACGTAGAGAACTACAACCATCATCGAAAAGGTACTAACGATTTTTTACAGGAGATACTCCTGATTCGTAGGCCGGATACCATCAGCAACATTCTATTTTGGAATAGAACAAACTGACTTCCAACTGAAGAGTAAGTTAGGAAAAGTCCCTGGACGTGAGGACATCACATTTATGCAACGACTGAGACAATCTGAAGAAACAGAAGTTTGGTCGTTACTTATGACTTTACAAATTTTCTGCTTATTTTAACAAATACATAAGGACTATATGTCTCTTTACAGTAAACTTTAAACATATGTGCACAGAACCAAAAAATGCACAAAACTGCAGTGTACCGGCAACTCTTACTAACCGCTGAAATCTACATTTCAATATACAATAATATTCTGTTTCATATTATTTCTGAGTAAAGAATTCCAGGATTATTTAAACGTTTTTCTCTGTCATGAGCATTAGTGGCTTTCGCTCAATATATGGTGATGATTTTTTAACTTATGAAGGCTACTTATACGGGTTATGGAGCATATTGATGATGATAATAATAATAATAATAACAACGACTTGCAATAATCCTGAATCGCTCTATTGGTAGGCAAATGATCCTACATACTTATACAAACATTAGAGTGACCTATTAATTTTAATTGTAACGTTATGTATTACCTTAGGCGGACGTATGTCTATCTACATTTGACTATGACGCTAATTGTGTGTTCCTGTATATGCGCTCATTATTGAAGTTTTTTGTCATATATGTCGTCCATAAGCTTCCCAGTTACCCATGATTCATATATTGTGAACTTCGCACAAAAGCTATATCACCCATTACCCACTGTGGTGGTTTGCTACAGATATTTCTGTCTGCAGTTATTCAATTTCCACATTCGATCACTCAGTTTGCCTGCTTGCACGAGTGTAATAAATATGAAAACCCTTAATACTACTCATAGTTGGCTTTTTATTTTCATGTCATATTGCCTGGTTAGTAGGTTGTTGACCTTCACAGAATCAATGTATTATATTTATCAACTTTACACTCAATCTGTGAAAAAATGAAACCGTGGTCTTTGTAAGGACGTGTGGTTCTTTTAAACTTTATATCTGTTTGATTTTAAATTCTAAATACAACACGTTCGTTTCTACTCACTCAGTTATTTGGTTTAAATAGCATTTTCGGGTGATCTTATCCGCAACGCAACCAATGTAAACTTAATGTATCGCACACTGTCATTTGTGCGTTCAAGTAACCACAGATTTTGTCATTTCATAATGTATTTTTAATTAAATAACTAGATTATGTAGTTAATTTTTTTCTGTTTTTAATTTTTATTCGTCACGTCTGACTGCGTTACACTGTACGTCCATTGCACGCTGAGATGATATCTCAAGTCATAGTGAGTTTATTCACATAGTTGATTGTTTCCAGATAGACTGTCAGTGCATGATTTTACTGAAGAAAGGTTTGTTGTACTGTAAACTGTGTTTCTATGATCAACTCCCTGTTGTCTTCAGTATGAATTCATACTGAATACTGCTTTAAAGCAGTATATATGTATCCTTCTTTTTTTCTTAGGTAAGTTCAACTGGCCTATATTTCGTGTTTTGGTTTTATCGGCTTAATTATGTCCATTTAACTTCTTTGAGCAACATGTCTTTGCAAGTGAAACAATAACTATGACAATTGCTTAGTTTAGTGTTCGTGGTTGTCGTATAATTCAGTTTAGTTGGAAGAATTATGATATACTTAAGTATAGTGCTTGAAGCCTGTAACGAAACAGATCAGTTTAGTAAGTAGAGTTGCCTGTTTCTAATGTGTATACGGATTCAGATCAGTCTGATTAAAAATAGGAAAAAACGTGCCTTTGATGCTGTTGCTGTCATACATTATAAGATAGCGATAAGTATGTTTGGTGTTTATTTCTAAACTGTACATCTATCACTGACAATATTTCATGATAACTGTCACTAAACAATTTCCCCAGCAATAACATCGGCAGCAAGATAGCTAAGTGTCTGAGCTTTTAGTTGCCCGCAAAACAGCAGTATACAGTCTTAGAAGATGAGTGTTCTGCAGTTGGCTGTGAACAAATGTTAAGAATCTTTTTGACAACTGGGACTTTTAGTTTATCAGACACTTACTCTGCTTGTATGTTGTCCTGTTAAACAAGACACAGATGCATGGGAATACTTAAATGGGAGCAAAATAATAAAAACATTGCAATACGGTACTAAGCCCATGTTATGCTTTGCGCAAGTAATAGTAGCTGACCTTATCTAATATTCATGAACTCAAGGTAAATCA